TTATCCTTTTTCTCCCCCAATACCCAGCATGTTTCACTGTGTCACACTCCTGCTCCCTGGTTGGAGGAGTTGGGGCTGGTGGGAAGTCCTCCTCTTGGTGCACCTCTCCCAAGCCCTTTGATGTGGCTAAAGCAGGTCCTGCCTGCCTTTCTCCCATGACCTCCAGGTCCCACACCATCCACAGTGAGAGTCCACGATGTGATTGGGTCTTGGCCAACTTTGGGTCCATCACTGACACCTCTTGCTGGCTCTTGTCCCTGCATCCTAGCACTGAGGGGCACTGCAAAGGCCAAGAAGCCCTTGGGAGGAGAAGAACTGAATGTGCAGTGGATCAGGGCTGCCTGGGGCAGGGGCCAGGGAGCTCGTGGCAGCAGCCTGGGGGTCTGGGTCTGTCAGCCCCAGAGAGAAGGTAAATACCACCTGGAGACCTACCTGTACAAGGTGGAGGCTGCTCTCTTCAGCCCTTTAGGTCTGTTTGGTTTAGGTTCCCCTGCCATGTTGATATCTGCAAGGAATGGACACACAGCTGTGACACAAGTAACAAGACACAGGACAAGAGGAAATGGTCCCAGGTTGCCCAGGGGAGGTTTAGATTGGTTATTAGGAACAACTTCTTCCCCCAAAGGGTTGTCAGGTCCTGGCCCGGGCTGCCCAGGGCACGTGCTGGAGTCGTTCACTGAGGGGTTCCTGCAAGGACCAGCTCTTCTATGATCCATAAGAGGGACTTGCAAGAGCCTGGAGAGATGCTGGGGCATAAATGAAGTCCTTCCCCAACATGCCTGCTCAGACCAGGCAGGCACAGCTCCTGTCTCACACCCAGGACTACCATGCTGCCCCCTTTCTCCAGCAGTAGTGCCAATCCTCCATCCAGGAGTGGCTCTGGATCCAGAGAGGGATGCTGGCCTGTGGAATGACCCCCTGGCTGGTGCTGTGGACAGGTCACCCTGCACTGTCACCAAGCTGCTCCCCTGAGCAGGCTGGGGCACCTTGTCCCTGCACCAGGCTCTGCCTCCAGCCACTGTCACCCCCCTGCAGGTGGTGACTCCCTGTGGGCTCTTGGGGAGCACCCCAAGGGCAGTTTCTCCTCCTGCAGCTCCTCCATGGGACAGGGTGGCTGCTCTCTGGCAGAGCAGCTGCCCCTCCTGCTTGGGAATGGGAACGTTGGCATCCCCCCCAAACCCTGCCATGTACCCTCCTGAGCCCACCCTCCTCTCCAAGCTCCTACATGACCACCACCTCCTCTTCTTTAGGAGGGAATCTCTACCTTGCTTTGTGCAAAAACCTTTACTAATCACATTGTTCTGCTCTTCCTCTGCTGGATTTTCCTGAAAGGGAAGTGTCCCTGTGTTTACACTTCCCAGGACAGCAAAGGAAGGCTCAGCTCTTCTGACAGGAAGACAGGCAGCTGAAAGGGACCTGAATTTGCACCTCCTCACAGCTACAGGGCAGCCCTTTGGTCTTGTTGGCAGCTCAGAGCTCTGGGACCAGCACTGAGAAGAGAGTAAGAGCTTCCAACTGTAGTAAAACTTCCATCTCTCTTCAGCTCAGTGGGCTCCCCAGTTCAAGAGGGACAGGGACAGACTAGAGAGAGTCCAACAGAGGCTACAAGGATGATGAAGGGACTGGAACATCTGTCTGATGAGGAAAGGCTGAGAGACCTGGGGGTCTTCAGTCTGGAGAGGAGAAGACTGAGAGGGGATGAAGGGACTGGGGCTGTTTAGTCTTGAGAAGACTAAGAGGGGACCTGATTAATGTCCACAGATATCTGCAAGGGGGTGTCAAGAATGGGCCAGTCTCTGTTCAGTGGTGCCTGTGACAGGATGAGGGGAAATGGCACCAAGTGACAACACAGGAAGTTCCACCTCAACATGAGGAGAAACTTCTTTGCTGTGAGAATGACAGAGCCCTGGGACAGGCTGCCCAGAGAGGCTGTGGAGGCTCCTTCTCTGGGGACTTTCAAGACCCACCTGGACATGTTCCTGTGGGACCTGCCCTGGGGGATCCTGCTCTGGCAGGGAGTTGGACTTGATGAGCTCCAGAGGTCCCTTCCAACCCCTGACATGATGTAATCCTATGATTCTAAGTGTTGTCCCTCTCTTAGCTGCATCTCCCCTACCTGCCTGGAGCACCCAACAAGCTCCTTTGCTCCCCAAGGCCCTCTGCCCCTGCCTATGACCTTGGCACACCTGGGTGATGCTGGGCTGGAACCATCCCTGCCACACTGAGCTGGGCCCCCATCTAAAGCTCCACTCTCTGGACCACGACAGAAGTGAAAAGAAGTTTCTGGTACTTGAATAAACCAGGATGGAGCAGCAGGGCCTTACAGAGGCAGCATGCAACTTCTTATTTCAGCCTGCTGAGGCAGAAGCAAGGTGGGAAGGGGCTGCAATCACTCTCCTGGGTGCCCAATGATCACTGCCTGCAGGAGGCTTGGAAATAACAATTTTTCATTTCAAAGATTTGTCTCCAGGCCCAATTCTCAGCTCCGTGCCAGTGACAAGAGCTCCCCAGCAGGTGACACTTCAGGGCAATCTGCAGACCAAGGATGCAGCTGGGAGCTGCTGGGTGGTTTGGTTTGTTAGCTCTTATCACACAGCAGTGCAGGTAAGAGACTGATGTGTCCAGGGGAGAAGGTCTCTCATTTCACATCAGCTGCTAAAGTTAGTCTGAGCTGGTCTGAGTTAGACTGTCACCCCTCCTGACAGGCAAAGGGTGAGGCTGGTCCAGAAAGGGAACCAGGCAATGTCTTTACCCACCTTTCTTCTTCCCCACCAGATCAAGGACCTGGGATGACTCAGAAGTGTGTTTTAGCTTCTACAACCACAGTTTGTACAGTGAGGTTTTGGGCCACAGTTGGGACTAAAATGGCCGTGAGCAGCCTCAGTTCTGAGCCCACCCCAGGGGACCTGGGAGCCTGCAGCCCCCACCTGAGCTGAGCTGAAGTGCTGGTCTCCAGCTGTGTCACAGCTGTGCCTGCCCATGGACCCTGCTGCTGATCCTGACTTCCCAGCCTGGCACCAGACCTGCCTTGTCACCATGGACCTGCCAGTGGAGACAGGCTCTTCTCAGTAGTTCCCAGTGTCAGGATGAGGGGCAATGGGCACAAGCTGGAACATGGGACGTTCCATTTAAGGATGAGGAAAAACTTCCCTACACTGAGGATGACAGAGCCCTGGGCCAGGCTGCCCAGGGAGGCTGTGGAGTCTCCTTCTCTGGGGACTTTCAAGACCCACCTGGACATGTTCCTGTGGGACCTGCCCTGGGGGATCCTGCTCTGGCAGGGGTTGGACTTGATGAGCTCCATCTCTGGAGATATTCCAAACCCACCTGGATGCAGCCCTGTGTGAAGTGCTCCAGGTGATCCTACTTCAGTGGGAGAGCTGGACTAGATGGTCTCTAGAGGTCCCTTCCAACTCCAGCAACTCTGACCTGCTCGGTCATCACCGGGTTGTATCTAACCTGCTGAGCATCACTGAACCTGACCCCAAGCTCTGTGTTCAAGTTCCACCTTGGACTGGCCATCCCCTAAGGCCCAAGCAATCCACGTTGCACCTGGACACCCGAAGTGGCTGCAGAAGACACTCACCCAGGGTCTGGCCAGCGAGCACTCGCCCGTTCTCACCCAGCACGGCCGCCCGCGCGTGCCGCTCGTTGGAGTACTGCACAAAGGCATAGCCCTTGTGCACTGAGCAGCCCACCACCCGGCCATACTTGGAGAAGATGGTCTCCACGTCTGACTTCTTGACCACGGCTGTGTTGAGATTGCCAATGAAGACTCTGGAGTTGATGGACTTGGGGTCATTCTTGTTCGTGATGTTGCTCGTCTGCACCTTCAGTGACATCTTGAACACCTGAATGAAGAAAGTCAGGATGAGAGTCTTAAAAAGAGGGGTGGGGGGATAAATCTCCCAGCTCCAAGAATCCCTGTGTGCTGGGAAGGCAACTGTCACAGCCTGGAGAAAACTCTGGAAGGCAATGAATCAGGCTGGCACTCTGCGTGCAAGTGGGTTGCTTAGAGAGGACAAAGAAAATGTAAATAACTTTTACATCTAAGTAAAAGCTTTAGTGCTGTCATAAGAAAGCTTCTTATGGAATCATTTGGTTGGAAAACACCTTGAACATCATCGAGTCCCACTGTCAACCCAACCCTACCAAGTCCAGTGTTACACCACGTCCCTCAGCACAGTTTGCAAACAGCTCCAGGGATGGTGGTTCAACCACCTCCTTGAGCAGCCTGTGCCAGGGCCTGACAACTCTTTCTGGGAAAAAATTTCTTCTAACATCCAATCTAAACCTCTCCTGGCACAACTTGAGGCCATTTTCCCTTGTTCTGTCCCTTGTTCCTGGGGAGCAGAGCCCGACCCCCCTGGCTCCAACCTCCTCTCAGGCAGTTCAGAGCCAGCAGGTCTCCCCTCACCTCCTTGTCTCCAGGCTGGACACCCCCAGCTCCCTCAGCTGCTCCTCATCACACTTGTGCTCCAGCCCCTTCCCCAGCTCCACTGCCCTTCTCTGGACACGCTCCAGCCCCTCCATGTCCTTCCTGTCCTGAGGGGCCCAAAACATTCACCTCTCTATATTAATGACAATCCAAAGAACTGCTCTTTTCAAAGCAGTGAACCTTCATTGCCTTTGCTCATGTCCACCCACCCAGGATTTCCCCACCCAGTCCAGCTCCCACCACACTCAAGAACAGCCCCAGGGATCCCCATGCACAGCTGGAAGAGGCCTCGAGTTTTCTGGCTGCACTTGAGGAGCTGTAAGTGCTGGAGCAGCCCCGGGGCTCCCTCCAGACCCTGCCCTGCCTGCGCATATCCAGGCTGGGCTCGGAGCTGGATTTTGTGCGAACAGGAGGTGTCACTGTCCGCTCGGGAATCGCTCAAACCACCAGCAGATCCACTGGAAGCCGCTCCAACCCGCCCCTTCCCAGAGCTGCGAGGCAGGACCCTCCAGGTGTCTTGCCTGGGATGTTTCCTGGGCAGCCCCTGGGAACGGGCTGCACCTCCTGAGGGGTAAGGAGCAAGGGACAGAGCTGGAGGCTGTGATGTCTGGAGACTGTGATGTCTGGAGACTGTGATGTCTGTCTGGCTGCCCCCCAGGCTGCCCACTCACATTTCTGCAGCAAAAACCACAGCTGCCCAAAGACTGGATTTTCACCTCCCAGCAGCAGGGGGGATGGAGGCTCTGGGGTTGCTGGTGTGTGCCCCACACTGTGTGTGGTGCTGACCCGGGGTCAGGCAGCTCAGGGCTCTGCAAGGGGTTTTATGGTGCCCTTTCAGGTGCTGCTCCTCCCCGGCCCCTTCCAGCAGCATCCACAGGTACTCCCAGCACCCAGGGCAACACCACCAGAGTGTCTTCAACTCCAGGTGGTCACTGAGCCTGCAACAGGAGACACGGGGCCATGGTGTCCCCTCCCTGGGGTCCCCAGTGCCTGCCCTGGCACTGGGCAAAGCTAAAGCACCACCAGGTTTTGGCTCTGTGGGCTCAAAGGCCAAGTTTGTCTCAGCAAGTTGGTCCAAGGTGGGGGCAGTGGCAGCTGCTCAGCTTGGTGGGTGCTGCTCCTGTGGTCCCTGGTCCTCAAGTCCTGGCAGGCTCTGCTTGCCCACAGCTCAGCCTGCCCCAGGCCCTGACACCCAGCCCTAAAACACCCCGTCAGTGTTCCTGGCACTGCTCCCCAGGCAGGGACAGCCTGGGGAAAAGCCACAACATTTCCTGGTCTGCTTTTTGGGGCCTGCACCCCAGCTTTCAAAAAACCAAAGTCCTCCCTTTTCCTTGTCTTCTCCTGCACAGACTCCTTGCGGGACATGAACTCTCGGTTGCTTCTGTCTCCTCTCAAACCAGTTAGGGGGTATAAAGGCATCACATCCATCTCCCCCCTCTGCCAGGTGAGCCCCATTTTTGCTCCTCAGGTGACAGGAGCTGCCACCCCTTGGGATACCCAGCAGGGGCTGCTCTGCCCACAGTCCTGCCTGGCCTGAGGGTACTTCCACCCATACAGACAAGCCCCAAGATCCAGGTGATGGGGCTTCTCCTGCCACTGGCTCTGTGTCTCCAAGAGTTGAAACTTCAGTCCAGCACAGAGATAAGGAGACAGCAGAGGAGACTCACCCCACAGGCAGGTGGACACGGAGATTTGGAACCCCCACTGCAACCCCTGGGCTCTGCAGACACAAGCTGCAGTGAGCAGACCTCAGCCTCCTCAGTTCTGAGAGCCCCAGGGGCTGGACACTTGATTCCATTCATCATCCAAAGAGCCCTGGAGATTCCTGCAAGGCTGATCCTTTCCATGGAGCAGGGGGAGGACACAAGGGCACAGTAGATCTCATCCAGCTCTAACCCCTGGGACTCCCTTAACCTGCCACTGAGGCTGGAAAGAGCTCCCTGCTAAATCCAACCCCAAAATAGTTCAGCCTTGCCTGAGTCTGGCTGGTTTTATTTTCCCTTTCACCTTTACAGATTGAAATGTTGGGTTTATTACTTGAAAAACAATTCCTGGCAGACAGAGTTTTCCTAAAAAACACTGGAAAAAAATAACCAAAGGACAGGATTTTTAAAAGCATCAAAGTGGATTGAATTCTCACATCTTTGGCAAGTGCTGCCCAACCTCTTCAGGTGGCTCCAAGTTCCAGCCTATATAATAAATAACACTTGGGTAATGCCACCTGCTTTAACATATACTTGCTGTGCAGTCTGGAAAGGGTTCACAAAGGAAAATGTCCCCATTCCTGGAGAAAAAGTGGAGAAACAGAGGAAAAGCCAAGGCTGTTTTCAGCTGTTTGGCCACTTTGGGTGCTCAGCTTGAGCCTCAAGGACTCATTTAGCAGAAATTCTGCCTACCTGCACAAAGCCTGGCTGGAGATGGCTCCAGGATGGTCAGTCCCCAGGCATCTCCATCCAACCAGGATCAGCTGTGAGGGACCTTCAGGGAGCCTGGTCACCCGTTGGGCACCTGTGGCCAGGTGGCCCTGGATGTTCCTGCTACCTAAGGACACATCCAGCCTGTTGTGAACCCCTGGCTCTCCCTGCCCTGGGGTTTCAGTGAAGTTGCACAACAAATGTGTGGATTTACACTCCTGGGGCTCCCAGTTCCTAGTGCCTGTGTGTTTTGGTCCTCAGCAAATCTGCCCTGGCACCTCTTCCATCCACACTAGGCCACGTCACAGGGACATCCTTGGCCCTGCTAAGCTGCAGGGGGAAAAAGATGGATGATGCAGGACACTGCAGGGCTGCAAAGGACATGTGCCTGTGGCTGACGAGCAGTGGGCTGGGGCCACCAGATGGCAAACTCAAGGTCAGGCAAGGTGATGGACAGGCCACTGGGAAAGACCTGGGAGGAAGCCAACGAGGACCCAATGACTCTGCTGCTCTCCCAGTGCCATCTGCCCACTGACAGCTGTCCCCAGGCAGGGAGCAGGGCTTTGGCAGGGAGCAGTGTCCAAGGCTGGGGAGCTGGGACTCCAGCACAGCATTGCTCTGAGGTTTTGGGCACCACCGGTGATGTTCTCCACTTAACACTGGCCTGCACAGCTCTCATTTTGCAGCTTATAAACCACTCAGCACTCAGTGTTCAAAGCCCTGCAAACCTGGAATCCCCTCAAGAGAACTGTCTCCCTTGGCCTCTCTGTCCCCTGCACTTAGGGTAACACTCATTTCACATCACTTATTGGCCCCCTGCTGTGACAACTGGAAAAGGACATTTAATTTATTTGCACATAAATATGTGATGATCATGCAGTGCAATATAGAGACCTCATAGTGACCTTCCAGTGCCTGAAGGGGCTTCAGAGAAGCTGGGGAGGGGCTTGGGACAAGGGCAGGGAGGGAGAGGACAAGGGGGGATGGTTTTAAGCTGAAAGAAGAGAGATTCAGTTTAGAGATCAGGTGTAAATTCTTTGCTGTGAGGGTGGTGAGAGCCTGGCCCAGGCTGCCCAGGGAAGCTGTGGCTGCCCCATCCCTGGCAGTGTTGAAGGGCAGGTTGGATGGGGCTTGGAGCAGCCTGGGCTGGTGGGAGGTGTCCCTGCCCATGCAGGGGTGGGACTGGATGATCTTTAGGCTCCCTTCTAGCTTAAACCAGTCTGGGATTCTATGAACACTCCATCCTCCACCTCACTGCACTGCAGCAGAGCACTTTGCCCAGATTAATCTCAGCACAGCATCAGCCACATTGTTTGGTGCCCCCTTGTGAAACACCACAGCTCACCAGTGCAGTGCTGGGAAGTACAGGGTCTTCTCCAGCCATCACCCCTATGACACAGCACATAGAAACCCGTGGCCATGAGTCAGAGCAGAGTATCTCCGCAATACATCTGGTTAGAAAAATAACGACGGCACAGACACCTATTATCAATAAATATAAATTAATTTTCTATTATTGGTTAATATCCTAATACCTACTGGTGACTTCAGCAGATGCATTTTCACAGCTATTACTTCACCTTTCCTCCTCCTGCCCACAACAGTAACAAGATAGACTTGAGTTGGCAAAGAGAACAAGACACAATGCACCTGGTAAGAACACTTGGGCACAGGTAAATGTCCTTCATCTGTAGGACCCCAGAGAACACCAAGGGCAGATTAGTTTGCAAATCCTTGTTTTCTGGAAGGGAAACTGAGGCCCAGACAGGAGAGGTTGTAGGTGAAGAGGTGTGAGTCACTGACCTCACCAGAGCTCATGATAATGACACCTCCCACTCACAAACACCCACAGAAACATACAGAGGGTTATAGAGACTCAAGGATGAGATTGTCAGAAGTTCCTTCATGCCTCCCTGTGTGTCCCATCTCCCTCTGCAAAAGGAGAGACCCTGCAGGCTCTCCAGAGGACAGCAGGTGAGCCACATCACGG